CCAAAATCCTGATTTCATGTCAAATTTTGAAAATATTTTTGCATTTGAAATTCTTTGCATTAAATCTGATTTATTTGGAATTGGATATCTGATCCATTCCAAAACCTTATTTAAGGGTTTGTAGTTAATTACCAGTCGCGGGACTCCACGTTCCTTTTTTGCCTGGTTGTTGACGTAAAAAGCCACACATGACCAGGGGCCTTTTGATGGTCTAATAAAACCTTTCTGCAAAAGATCATTAATTTCTGCTTTGCAGAATGTTAGTAATTCTTTATTCATCTGAATAGGTCGAGCTTTCGTAGGAATATTTTTCTCCTCGAAAGCTTTGATATAAGGAAGATCAACTATGTGTTGTTTCCTATTCCAAAAGGCATTTGGGATATTTGAACAAACTTCTCTTTCTAATTGAGTTTGTAAAGTTTTGATTTTAGACTGGACAGTCTTATTTTGAATTTGATCTTCTATTCTTTTGAATGAAATTTCTTCCTTCAAAAAGGAAATTTGTTTTTCTTTATAATTTAATACATTTATTGACTAAATAATTGTATTCTTTTGAAGGTTATTTATTTCGCTAATTCTTATGGGAAAAAAAGTTAAATTTTATTCTTTCCTAAGGCTTTTGATTCTAACCCCTGTTCAGTTATTCTAAAAGGATATAATTGAGTAATGGAAGGAGGACCTAGGATTAGTTCTTGTCCTAAGTCTTTTACCAAAAGGAAGAAATTTACGAAGCAAATTCCATCATTGCAAACATGAACTTTTGATAGTTTGTAATTAATTTTGAGTTTGTTGTTGTTAGCACCTCTAAGGCCCTTAGTAGTTTTTTCAAAATACTTTGTAGGTATTAGGCCTTCTTGAATGCAATTTTGATCGGCTCCAGTATCTATGAGAGCCTTTAGTATGATTTTGAAATCATAAATTTTGAAGGTAACGAGAGCGTACCATTTTTGAAATTAAGAAGTGGTGATGGCTCCAACGAAGGAACTTTGAAAATCTTCTTCATCCGGGTTTGGTTGCGCCGTTTCCTTTTGTGCGGGCAGCCTTTCCTAAAGATTGAGAATTTCTTGACGAAGCGTATAAGATTCTGACCTGGTTTCAGATCTTAGCGCCTGTACCTCTTGTTTGAGATTATTAATCTCTCTTTGTAAATCTTGAGTAGTGAGTTCCCTCGGTTTTTCAAATCTTTGGAGAACAGATTGGAGTCTGTAGGGATTTCTTTCTTCCCTTTCAGGTGGCTTAGAGATTGTCATGGCATCTCTAAGTCGTTGAGCAATCTTCTGTTGAATTTCTTGGTCTTGAACTTTTTCTACTACTTCGAGTAGAATTTCTTGATCCTTGGTAAGGACATTTATGCATCCTTCGCACGTCCTTTTTCCTTCTTGTTCTGATTCGTATTCTGTGCTAGAATATAATCAGATTCTTCTTGGAGTTTGAGGATTTCTCCCTTGCTCGATTGCTCTGAGTCGGTTAGGGTTAGTCGTAATAGCTGATTTTTCAGCTCTTGATCTATATCCAACTCATTGATCTTTCCTCTGATTGGACACTTGTTAGCATAGTGTCCTTCTTCACGACATTTGAAGCAAGTTTGCTTTTTCTTTCCTCTATGGGTTTTTGTAGGAATATACTTCCTTCTTGAATATGTTGGCTTCTGAGACTGCACGGGCTTACTCCGATATGTTTCTCTAGGCCTGTATGAATGATAAGGTTTTGGATGCGTCTTAACCTTCTTTCGTCTGGAGGTTGAGGGAGCTTCTATTCCCTTGCATCCATATTGATCGCAAAATCTACCAAGCTCTTTTCTGTTTGATATCGAAGAATTGAGCTTGTTTTGAATCTTTGACTCATTACAAAGTCTGAGTCCTTCTTCTATGATGAAGAATGCTATGGATCCGTATGAGAAAGTTTGTCATGGAATTGTTCCATTGTACTTTGTCTTAAGACCATCTTTGATCCTCCTTGAAAAGTGTTTTGGTAGTCCATTGACGAAATTCTCTTTCCAGAATTCCAACGAACTATCTGTTCTAATAAGAACTTTGCTGAAGTACATGTCTTTGTACCACCTGAAATCACCTAAGGTAGGGCATTTCAGATTCATGAGTATCTCGGCGGATCTCTCCTGGTATTTCAGAGGGTCGCCGACGAAGAATTCTATGAGGGTATATATGAGGGTGTTGACAGCATCCTCTACTCTTTCATGTTGTACTTCCGTCCTAGTTGATGGACCTTCTTCTTTGATAATTTGAGTAGTTGGCCTAATGACATAGTGGTTTAATATCTGTTGGCGGGTTGTTTCATCGAGATATTTGTCCCACCAATCTTTGAGTTGCCCAGTAAATCCGGTTACCAAAACTTGAGCTATCTGATGGTCGGATTTATGGCGTTGTAATTTATACGCGCCTGCGGCCATCATCATCTCATTGACAACATTCATTATCAGATAGTCAGATAATCCATCGATATTCCATTCATAGAATATCATACAGAGATTATTCCTACCCTTCATTTTTTATTACTTAGAACTTGTTTGTGTGTCATTTGGATCCTTTTCAACTATATATACATATGATCATTGTACTAAACCAAAGATACATTTTTTACGACTTTTAAAGATAGATTTTTATGAAAAATGCTATTAAAAGAAAATGAAAAAAATTGAAACGATATTCACGGTGTTTGTTTGTTAGGTTAGGCTTTATTTAGCAAAGAATCACACACATCCCCAAAGTTAGATTACCTTTTTTTCTCTCCCAACGCCAATCACATACTTTTCCTAACTCCATTGGGATGTCTCTTCTCAAGTTTTTCTCTATTTTAGTGCTCCAAGTTTTTGAATAAAATCCGTATATTCATTTTGAAGTCAGTATTTTATTTTTAGATATCAACTTGGATATTTTATTGCATAC